GTGTGAATTCCCTTTTTCCCCCTTGGGTCTAAGCAGCCGGCACACTTTTAAAATATTTTTAGGCTGTCCTTTTGCGTCAGATCAAAATGGGCTGCTTTTTAGAGATCCCTTCTGTTAACAGCTCTGAGGACACCCTTCCACATTCATGGATCCTGCCAGCCCCAACAGCCACGGGTTTTTCTAGAAGCAGACTTCCCTAGTCCTCCAGCTCCCGCAGTGCACGCGTTTCTCTCTTCTGCAGGGAGCAAAGACCTCACCTTATCCCAGGCAAAATCTGGCCTTTCCATGGTGGACTGTAGACCCCGTGTTTGTGCCAATTGGGGACTGGTGTTCTGGGGTTTGCAGCTGTTCAGTGGGTGCTGCAGTTGTAAATTTTCAGGCTTCTGATAACATCCACTTTCCCCTTCAAAATCAATGTTTACTAGCAAATTTCTTTGACTCCATGGATTACTGATTCTTTTTAAAAAATATATATATATTTTATTGATTTTTTACAAAGAGGAAGGGAGAGAGACAGAGAGACAGAAACATCGATGAGACAGAAACATCGACCAGCTGCCTCCTGCACCCCCCCCACCGGGGATGTGACCGCAACCAAGGTACATGCCCTTGACCGGAATTGAACCTGGGACCCCCCAATCCGTAGACCAACGCTCCATCACTAAGCCAAACCGGCTTCGGCCATGGAGTACTGATTCTAAAGTAGTTACAGACCTTTAAAAAAGCTAGAGGCAATAAATACTCGTCGGTGGCAGGAATGTGGATGAGAGGTGTGTTCCTGGGAGAGTTCCCAGTGTAGACAGAGCCTTCTTAACCTCCAATCTACATGGGAGAATATGTTTAGAAGGAGAGAAAAACATCAATGTGAGAGAGAAACATTGATACATCAATTGATTGCTTCCCATATGCACCCCCACCAGGGATCAAACCCACAATCTAGGTATGTGCCCTGACTGGGAATTGAACCTGAAACCTTTTGATGTATGGGATAATACTCTAACCAACTGAGCCACCTGGCCAGGGTAAAATTAATTTATTTTACATCAACAGTAAAGCCATGGTTTTTGTCAGAAAGAATGGGGTTTCAAAATACATGAGAACAATAACTTAATTGAAGTGTCGGTTACACGACTGCATGCAATTGTCAAAATTGATAGAACTGTACACTTAAAAAGATGAATTTTACTCTATATAAATTTTATCTCAATAAATTTTAACTGAGTACATGAGAATAGATATTTATTTATTTATTTTTTAAATATATTTTATTGATTTTTTACAGAGAGGAATGGAGAGGGATAGAGAGTTAGAAACATCAATGAGATAAAAATATCTATCAGCTGCCTCCTGCACCCCCCCACTGGGGATGTGCCTACAACCAACGTACATGCCCTTGACCGGAATCAAACCCGGGACCTTTCAGTCCGCAGGCCGATGCTCTATCCACTGAGCCAAACCAGTCCGGCTGAACAAGGAGTTTCTTTTGGAGTTATGAAAATGTTTTGAAGTCAGTGATGATGTTTTCACAATTTTGTGAATATACTAATAAGCACTGAAATGTACACTTTAAATTGGGGACCTTAAGCTATGTGAGTTATATCTCAATTAAAAATAAAATCTGGCCCTGACTGGTTTGGCTCAGTGGATCGAGCATTGGCCTGCAGATTGAAAGGTCCTAGGTTTGATTCTGGGCAAGGGCATGTATCTTGGTTGCGGGCACATCCCCAGTAGGGGGTGTGCAAGAGGCAGCTGATCGATGATTCTCTCTCATCGATGTTTCTAACTCTCTATCCCTCTTTCTTCCTCTCTGTGAAAAATCAATAAAATATATTAAAAAAAGAAAAGAAAAAGAAACTCCTTGTTCATTAGCAGTCACTCCACATTTCTCCTCTTTATTCTCTAACAACCATATATCTACTTCCTTTTTTTCATAGTTTTTATTATGGCAAAATACACATAATTACCATCTTAACTTCTTAATTGTACAGTTCATTGGTATTAAGTACATTCATATTGTTAAGCAACCATCACCACCATCCATCTCAAAAACTCTTTTCATCTTGCAAAATGAAACTCTATACCCATTAAGCAATAATTCCCCATGCACCCCATCAGCCCCTGGCAACTACCAATCTACTTTCTGTTTCTTTGATTTTGACTACTCTAAGTACTTCACAAAAGTTAAATCATACATTGTCTGTCTTTTTGTGACTAGATTTCACTGACCATAATGTCCTCAAGCTTTATCCAAGTTTTAGCATGTATCAGAATTCTTTCCCTTTTTTAAGGTTGAATAGTATTCCAGTGTATGTGTATACTACATTTTGCTTTTCCATTCAACCATTAATGGGCATTTGTGCTGCTTCCATATATTAGCAATAGTGATTTATAGTCTAGAGTGGCTCCCCTTATCCACAGGGGATACATTTCAAGGATGCCTAAAACCATGGATGGTAGTGAACCTTATACAGTATACAGTATGTTTTTTTTTCTATATATACATAACTATGATAAAGATTAATTTATAAATTAGGCACAGAAAAAGATTAACAACAATAACAAAATAGAACAATTATAACAATACATTATAATGAAAGTTATGTGGATGTGATCTCTCTCAAGATATCTTATTATACTCTACACTAGAGGCCTAGTGCACAAATTTGTGCACCAATGGGGTGCTTCAGCCTGGCCTGTGGGATCAAGCTAAAACAGGATCTCCAACATCCCCCAAAGGGTCCCAAATTGTGAGAGGGTGCAGGCCAGGCTGAGAGACCCCACCAGTGCTTGATCAGGGCCAGGGAGGGTCTATGGGAGGGCTCCAGGGCATGTCCAGCCCTTCTAACTCAGTCCCAATTGGCTATACCCCAGCAGCAAACTAACCTACCAGTCGGAAAAACTGTCCCTTGGTGTTCAGTGCATGTCATAGCGAGATGTTGAGTGGCCTTAGCATATCATTAGCATATCAATTAACTTTGATTGGTTGAACAGACGACTGGACACTTAGCATATTAGGCTTTTATTATATAGGATATGGTATGAATATGGTGTACAAAGGGATAATTCATTTTCTGAGTGGGTTGGAGCAGGCCAGTGTGAGATTTCATCTCATTACTCAGAACAGTATGCAATTTAAAACTTATGAATTGTCTATTTCTGGAATTTTTCATTTAATATTTTTGGACCATATTTGACTGTAGTTAATTAAAATTGCAGATAAGAAGGAGGGGGCTACTTTATTTTATTTAACTATGCATTAGTATAGCCATCCTTGGTCTCTTTAGGTTACTATTTATATGGAATATCCTTTTTCATCCTTTTACTTTCTTCCTACTTGTGTCTTTGTATCTAAATTTAATTTCATCTACACAGAAAATATTTGGATCATATCTTTTTTTAGACATTTCATCACTTTTACTTATTTAGTTTTTGTTTGTTTGTTTGTTTGTTTTTGTTAATCCTCATCCGAGGATAATTTCCCATTGACTTTTAGAGAGAATGGAAGAGAGAAGGAAAAACAGAGAGAAACACATCGATTGGTTGCCTTCTGCATGATCTCTGACCAGGGCCTGGGCCCGGGGAGGAGCCTGCAACCAACGTACATGCCATTGATGGGAATTGAACCCAGGACCCTTTGTTTCGCAGGCTGATGCTGAACCAAATCTGCTAGGGCTGGATCATGTTTTTTTTGTTGTTGTTGTTTTTTCCCCCCAATCTACCAATCTCTGTCTTTTGATTGGAGAGTTTAATCTATTTACATTTAAAGTAAGTACTGATAAGGAGGGTCTTCTGTCATTTTGCTATTTGTTTTCTTTATACTTTATAGATTTTGTGACCCCCATTCCCTACATTATTGTCTTCTTTTATGTTCAGTTAATTTTTCATAGTAAAACATTTAAATCTCATTTTCTTTTGTGCACATTTTATAGCTATTTTCTTTGTTTTTGCCACAGAGATTACACAATCTTATGATCAGGAGCAGCAAACAGCTATCAGAGCACAGATCTCTGATATTTTATGGACAGAGTCCTTTTTTGCACACCCTGACTCCTATAATCTATTCTTAGGATGTATGCACAGCTGCCTGTCATTGAGCTAGGGTTGGGGTGGTAGCTAATACTGTGCTAAGAGCTGAAATTTTCCAATTTACTGTCTAAGCCTTCCTTTGGAAGTTGCAAGCTTTCAATAGTCCCAACAGTTCCAAATAGTTGCACCATACAGATTCTGCCAATGTAATTGTTGTCTAGCTGGGGGAATAAGATTCTTGGTGCCTTCTACTTCACCATCTTCCCAGAATACTGTTTAATTTACTTCTTTTAGGTTTAATGTATAATTTTAAGAGAAAACAAGAAATATTTCTTCATCTGTGACTTGAGGGAAGGATATAAACATAGAGATAGGAACATTGGTAAGTTGCGGGGAAGAACCTCATGTATGATTACTAGCAGCTGTGTAGTAGAAGGTCAAAGAGAACTTTGTTGCTTATGGATACTATAACTGCTCTAAGCAACATTTGCATGAAGAGGAACATTTAAAATTTGGACATTTTAGATTTAATATTTGATTGACTTGTAATAGATAGGGTACAATATTTGATCCTTTGACTTTCAACTTGGACCTGAATGTTTACCTGTACTCATCTGCCAATCAAATAACTTATCATATTTGGCTCTGTTCTAACTCTGAAATTTAGTCCTCTGTCACTTTTCTAATATCAACTCCCTACTCCCTGTAATTCTAAAAACCCTGAAATTTTTGAGAACAGTACTTTTTAGGACATAACCATTTTACCATTTCAATCAATGCAACTATTCAGGATTCTGATTATCATTTTGACATATAATTTGCAAGGTGGTGGATTCCCATCCTAGATCCTGTAAGTGTTTATATTCAAACCTATGCTGAATATTCTAAATTGTTGGCTTCTGTTAGATAAGAGCATCTCATGGGTCACAAAGTTGTTCAACAAATTCTCAACATTGACATACTTCTTCTTTCAGGTTGACAATAAATGCCCTTGCCCAGAAACTAAATGTTTATTGGAAGGAAAAGACTTCCCAAGAACACTTTGAAACCTCAGCCATAGCCAGGATAATACCGTGAGTAATAAATATCTCTCTATATAAAAGGCTAATATGCAAAGTGTCCCCTTGGGAGTTCAAAAGGGACACTGGGAGTTAGATTGCTTGTTATGACATGTGCTGATCACCAGGAGGCAGTGTGGAATGAAGGAGGGCCCTGACTGGCAACCAAGAGGCCTCAATCAACCCTGATTACTGGCCAGGCCTAGGGAACCTACCTGTGCACAAATTTTGTGCCCTGGCCCTCTAGTAAAATATAAAAGTATTTGGGAAGCAAATGGAACAAAAAAGAAGATGGTGCTTTTCACATAAGGAAGTTTAATGCACTAAAACTGGGAAGTCACCAGTACTAATTTTATTATTTTCTAGACCTTTCATTCTGGTTTAACACTTGTCTGGTCTAGATCATAAATATAAAGAGTTTAGTATGTTCAGTTTACCCTATAGGCAGTATGATATAGTGGAAGATGATGGACATTTAAATCAGATACTCCATGGTTGAAAATCTGGATCTGCTTCTTAATAGTTGGATGAGCTTGGGTAAGTAAGTCACTTTACCGCTATGAATATAATAAATTAGATGATATAACATTTTTTAGCATAGTGCCTGGCATATAGTAGATATTCAGAAATGTTAGCAAACTTACCTGCTTTTTATTTCTAGTGAACATTGTTGGAATTATACCAAGGAATTTGACAATGGAAGTAGAGAACCCAGCATATCAGAGAAAAAAAGAACTATGGATGAGGATGAAATACCTCAGTAGTCCAGGAAAGGAGCATAATACAGAGAATAGAATGTGTAACAACATATATGCAGTCAGTTACACCACCATCAAGACAAAGATTAGAGTATTAACAGTTCATTTTGAGGTAGGCAGCACCTTGTGTCTTTTTTAAATGGAAATCATCAGGAAAATACATGATATAAAATTTTGTTTCAAATGCTACCTGATTGCTATATAAATATCACTATCTTATTCTAAATATCTTGCTCATGCCCAACCTCCATGGTTTTCAAAGACATAAAAGTTAAAATGAGATGCCATTTTTGGTCTTTCAAATAAGCAATGATTAATGCAATGGAACAGTTGTTCATATATGTACACTATATATAATGTGTATATATATATATATATATATATATATACACACACACTAATAAAAGAGAAAAATGCTAATTGACCGTACCTTCACTATACCCACAGCCAATCAAAATGAGCATGCAAATTTATCCAACAAAGATGGCAGTTAATTTGCATATATGGAGAGAGGGAGGAGTAAAGACTGAAAACAGCATAGAAGGAAGAGGGAAGAAAAGCAGAAAGCAAGGCGGCTGCCAGAGGGAAACCCCACAGGTGGGGCTGGGTGGGCGGTGGCTGAGGCACACGCCGTAGTCCCTTGCAGGAATATTCCTGCAATAGGCTCCTAATATATATATATATATATATATATATATATATATATATATACACACACACACACACACACACACACACACACACACAATATAAAAGGCTAAGTGACCAACCATACATCCACCCATACGTCCGACCATCTGACCAGCAGGTACATATCTGGTACATATGATGCACACTGGCAATCTAAAAATAAACATTGACTCATGCATGCGTGAGACATATAAAACTTACATTGGTGCCAATAGCATGCATGTGTTTCGATCTGTCTTTGTCAATGTGAATTTGTGGGATCCCTTATCACGACCCGTGTGGTTCAGGGCCCATTCAGGGTCCGGTTTCTGGAGAAGGCCGCACACTAAAATGAAGAGAGAAACTGGAAAATAGTCAATTTGGGAAAATGAGGGCCAGGCAGGAAGTCCACATCTAGTGGGAAGACTAACCCATGCTCTGGCCTTTTACCATTCCTTTTATTGAGATTCTGAAACAAAGACATCTCTTAGGGGGGAAGTTCCAACAACAGAAAATCAACAAGAATTTACATTTACATATGATTAACAAATTAAAGTTGCCTCAACCATCACTATCTCAACTAGAAGATGAGTTAATAGCTCCGATCATTCAGAGCCATCAAGGTTGGCCAGCTCTTTCTACATTTTACTACCAGGGAACAAATGTTTGGTTTTGGTTAGCCAGCTCTTTTTACATTTTACCACCAGTGACTTAACTTAAGAGTCAATGAGTTAATAGCTCTGACCTTTCAGAGCCATCAAGCCTGGCTAGCTCTTTTTACATTTTATTACCAGTGACAATGTTAGGTTTCAGTTCCCCGGCAAATTTGGTTGACACTTCTATTATAGAGAAAGGGTGAATAGCAATATTAAAATATTTTTTTTAATTAGTTTCCTTTCAATGTGCACAAGTCCATGCACCGGGCCACTATTATATATAACTGGTATTAAAGAATCTTTCTGGAAGAAGAATTGTAATAATGATGATCATTTATTGAGTATTTACTTATATTCTAGGTACTGGTCTAAATTTTCTAATTATATTTACATGTATTCATTATAAAAATCCTATGAGATAGAAAGATAATATTATTTCTTCTTTACAAATGTAGACACTGGTAACTGAGAGCTTAAGTAACTTGCTCAAGATTAGACAGGTACAAAATGGTAGATCAAAAGTTCAAATATAGGCAATTGGGCTCCAAAGCACAAGATCTTAACCATGACTCTTCAGGAAGGATGCAATTAGGATTATATTGTATAGCCCCTTCAATTACCTATTTATTACAAACACAAGCTGAAAAGCCTTTCCTACCATGGTTTGCATGTAACCTGAGTCAGGGAGTTACTGTCTTTAATGTTTGTCCATAAGAGAGTAATATTGACGTGCATCTGCAAGAGACTCTTCTGTGCATGTGCATGACTTGTATGCATACATATAAGCATAACCAATGGACACAAGACACTGCGGGGAGAGGGGGAGGGCATGGGTCAGGGGATAGGGGAGACCGGGGAGAGGTCAATTGGGGGAAAAGGAAACACATGTACTACTATTTGTAGTACGTTAAACAATAAACACATGCACACACACACACACACAAACAAACACAAAACACCAAAACTAATATGACCTTTCTTCTCTCCTCTCACTACTGCTGAAACTGCTTTTGCTGCTCTGGTTCTAAATAAAACAGTGGCTGAATGGAAATATATAGACACCAGAGGTCAGGCCTGAGCTCAGAGTTTAGAAGTTCTAAAGCTGAAACAACCTGGAGCTAGGAGATAGGAAGATATATATCCAAAAATCTTTATGAATTATCTTATTAACAGAGCTTTAAACAAGAAGAGTACATTATATTTGAGTGGTAGAATTATGAGTGTCTTTTATTTTCTTTTTAGATCTTTCTGTATTTCCATTTTTTTCTATAATGAGATGATTATTATAACTAGAAATAAAGCACTATCTACCAAGATAAGGAAAATATTGAACTAAAATGTACAAAAAACACATCACTCTATTGAAATATCTAGTATAAGAGCAATATAAGTGTAACACAAAACCCACCCTAGGTTAAATTACATGTTTTTCAAATTGGTCCTACGTGCCCATGTACCCTCTTTCTGTGTCTTTTCTCCAGACTTCCTGGTTCCCACTCCTTTCATACCTTAGGTGCTATTTCTGTTATACATGGACCACCTCCTTCCACAGAGAAATAGTGAAGGTGACTGGATATGCTTCCTGGAGGTGGGAGGGTGGTGGGGAGAGGGTATGTGTATTAAGAGTAGAACTCTGGCCGAAACCGGTTTGGCTCAGCAGTAGAGCATCGGTCTGTGGACTGAAAGATCCCGGGTTCGATTCCGGTCAAGGGCATGTACATTGGTTGCGGACACATCCCTGGTGGGGGGTGTGCAAGAGGCAGCTAGTCGATGTTTCTCTCTCATCGACATTTCTAGCTCTCTATTGCTCTCCTTTCCTCTCTGTAAAAAATCAATAAAATATATTTTAAAAAAAGAGTAGAACTCTGGAAGAATTTATCTTAATAATTAAACCTACCCTGTTTCCCCGAAAATAAGACAGTATCTTATATTAATTTTTTTCCCCAAAGTTGCACTAGGTTTTATTTTCAGGGGATGTCTTATTTTCAGGGAAACACGGTAATTGGCAGACTGGAGCCACCATTTCTAGTTATGAAATTTAATAAAATTTATATTACTTTTTAAGATTAACTTTGGGAACATCAACCTAATAAAAATTTTTAAAAAATATATTTTATTGATTTTTTTACAGAGAGGAAGGGAGAGAGATAGAGAGCTAGAAACATGGATGAGAGAGAAACATCGACCAGCTGCCTCTTGCACACCCCCCACCGGGGATGTGCCCGCAACCAATGTACATGTCCCTGACCGGAATCAAACCTGGGACCCTTCAGTCCACAGACTGACACTCTACCACTGAGCCAAACCGGTTTTAGCAACCTAATAAAATTTTGATTAAAGTATAAACAAAGACCAATTTTAAAAGGAAAAATAATAGGTGTAGGGAGTTTATAGTAAGGTGACCAGACGTCCCGCTTTTGGCGGGACAGTCCCGATTTTCAACAATTTGTCCCACGTCCCATGGTGTTTTAAAATCGGGACTCTTTTAAGACACCGCGGGACGTGGGACAAATTGTTAAAAATCGAGACTGTCCTGCCAAAAGCGGGACGTCTGTTCACATTAGTTTATAGGGAAATGGAGATGTTTTGATGATGATTCTTCAGTGACTTCCACAAATGCATTTTTTTTAAATAAGAGGATATCCTATTTAATAAAAGGCTAATATGCAAATAGACCAAACAGCAGAACAACTGAACAACTGGTCGCTATGACATGTACTGACCACCAGGGAGTGCACATGGAACATGGCGGACATCAGCTGAGGCTGGATGGTGGAGCAGGTGAGCGGGGGTGCCAGACTAAGGCAGTGTGCTGGTCACTGTCATTGGGGCGAGCCTCTGGTGGTTATTGAAAATTCTATGGTCCTGCCCAGCACTCTCACCTGCTGCCAGTGCTGGTCCCACTCACATCTGCTGCTAGCACCATAGCTAC